TTAGATATCGGAATAGTTTTTTCCCTTGTGCCATTGCTCTGTTAAATACTACATGGCTTGATATGTGCTGGACAGTGGCTTCTCCCTTTGAAAAAGTTATTTTACTGTGTAGTGTTATTGTTACTTTTCTGTTGCTATCCAAACGCACTGTTGATCTTGCTGTTCGTCACTGAAGAAGATATCGGAATAGTTTTTTCCCTTGTGCCATTGCTCTGTTAAATACTACATGGCTTGATATGTGCTGGACAGTGGCTTCTCCCTTTGAAAAAGTTATTTTACTGTGTAGTGTTATTGTTACTTTTCTGTTGCTATCCAAACGCACTGTTGATCTTGCTGTTCGTCACTGAAGACAAACTCCTTGTATATATTTTATACTTGGTCATTAAAGTATTCTGTATTCTATCTTTCCATATCCCCCTCCAACTTGGAGGGGCCCCTACAAGCATCTTAACCCAAGGTTAAAAAAATGCTTGAATGCCAGCACGGTGGGGGTTATACGTATCTCTTGGGGGATGCTGTTCAAAAGGGCAAGTGTAGAGAAGGTTGCTTCCTGCATCTTGCTAGATGACATTGCTTAATCAAGAGGTCCTAAAGCAAGCCAACTCTTTCAGAGTGCACAGGATAAGCAGGCACTGTGGAAGACAGGGAGTTCCTAAAATAGCTAGGCCTTATGCCATATAGAGTTTTATAAGTGATAAGCACCATCTTGAATTTCACCTGGAAACCAACTGGTAATCAGTGCTCAGCCCAGGTAACAGGGTGTTATAGGAGCATAGAGAGGGTTGCCTATCTTTGCTCACAGACCCCCTGTGAAGTGGGTGACCAAGGCGTGAGTGACCATGAACCTGATTCAGGAACAGGTGCAATTAGCAATTAGCTGTATTTGTGCAAAGCTGCCATTTTCTCCTTGAGCAGGAACTGAATGTCCAGGAAGACCACCAGTCCCAGGCATGGCAGTGCAACTCTGCTTAGGACTAAAGATGGAAGGTTTCCAGCACTGGAAGGACCGAGCACCCATAACCACTCAGTATTGCTAAGGTTGAGCCTGAGCTTGTTCTTCTCCTTCCAGTACCCGGTAACCTCTGGGGACTGGCAAAAACCTTCACAGCATTGCTTATCCAGGGATCAAGATGTATAATTGGGTTTGATTAGTATACTGAAGATACCTATCCCTGAACCAACCTTTCTCAATGACCTCATGTAAATGTTAAACAGGAGGGAGAGAATGCTAAGCCCTATGCATCTGCAAATCAGGGGCTTTGGGTTTAATATCTCCTCTCCAATCAACACTGACTGGAACTGGTTGTGGAGAACGGAAGAGAGCCACAATAACAATGTGCTCAACATCCCCATTTCCAGTATCTGGTCCTGGAAGGATTAAACTGTTGATGGTATCAAAAGCCACTGGGAGCTCAAGGAGGGCTAGGAAGCCATAGGTCATCAACAAATGTTTGTTGTATGATTAAGAGATGAGGATCAGGCTACTGATACAGATCTTATTGCTTTTTCTTGTATAATTAGGATTTTCTCTCGCTCTTTTTTGGCTGACTTTAATAATCCTTACAAATGTATCAATAATTTTCCCATTTCACTCATTATTGTACTGAAGAGAGAGGCATTGAAAATGATAATTGGGAATGCTTAGAGTTTTCCCTCTATTGTCCTTTTTATTGCTTTTCAGTCCATGAAAGAAGATAGGGGGTTTCTGTGTATATTTTTCCTTGGAAGAAGGAAGAAGAGGAAATGATTATGTACCATTTCCTGCTGCTTTAGCAACATCCCACAAAATAACATCTCACAATATGCATCATGTTGCATATGAACTACTGTTTATCACTAGTATAAATATCACAGTGTTGTAGTGATATATAACAGTTAATATGAAGCATCAGATCCTACTTCCTGGAGAGACTCCTGAAGTTCATGTAGATGAAATAATACCAGTGTGTGTTTTTGCTTTGGTTAAAATGGCATGAATCACACACAGTGGGAAGTATATAAAGACTTTGACTTCCAGGGAAGAAATGGCAAACTGAAGACGCCTCCACTAAAAGTGGAGCCAATGATTGTGGCAGAATGAAGATCTGGCAAATAGATCTGCTGTTCATAATTCCTCTCCAGACAAGAAGAGGACTTGAGATTGCCCACAAGTGCTCCAGACAGTTGTTTTGGTATAAACAGCAAAAGAATGATTAAAATTTTGATTCTGGCAAATTACAAATGAACTAAGGGTCCAGATGGATTTGAAATAAGGTTTTGGAATTAATTATAAGAATCCTTCCCGTGGGAAAATGTTGTTGTGTTGAATTCTCTTTTTAAAAAAACTTGTTAGGATGACTTTGATGGTTGGACACTCGAGGGAACCAGAAGGAACTAAAGATTACAATTAAAAGAGAAGAACCCTTAAATTTGACTTATTAATACAGAACAAAGCAAAATATTTTAACATTGGACATATTGAAGGATATTTTTGAACAATGAACCCAGAAGTTAATTTTAAGAGTGTCTGTCTATAGATAGACTGAGTTTCAAAGTGTTATGAAAGAGGGACAAGTTTTACTAGACAAGATTGAGACTGATCTGAAACTGGATTTAAAATGACAGGATACAAGAATGATACAGAAAAAGTTGCTACATTGGACATACATAAGAAACCAGTTGATGTCTTAATAATTAAAAGGGATATACAAAAAAACCAAGAGTGACCTGGATAATTTTCCTATATTGGATTTACAAAAGTGACTTGTTAAAGCTTTGAAGAATTTTGTGAGAAGAGACAAAGAAAAAATGAAAAGAAATCAAGTTCTAGGACATTATTTGAAGGGACTAAATATCAAGAATGTTAAAGCCAAAAAGAAGGGACATAAAGTTGGTTTATTTGATCATGGTTAAAATAGATACGTTGCTATCTCTGGTAACCCTTAATGGACTGATCAGAACTGAATGATGAGGCTTTAAGGATTTGTTTATAGATAAGACATGAGATGTGGGAAGAAGAGATCATTTGTTGTTCTTTTAAAGAGAAGGTGATAAGTTACTAAAATTGTTTATACTTGTTGTGATGAGGGGGAAGTCATTTCTTTATTTCTTTTTTTTCCTTTTTACCTATATTCCTATTTTTCTTTCTTTTTCTTTCTATTTTTTTCATTTCTGCATTTCCTATTTTTCCTTTTGTTTCGTTTGTATTAATTTTTTATTGTTATAAAATTACTATTAAAAATTTTAAAAGGAAGTAATATAAAGACTTCATAACAGCAGTTGTCCCATTTTTGTTCATTCAGCAAAGTAATACTTTGTACACTCATTCTCTGATGTGCAATCTTATTAGTCTGACTCTTCCCATGTTTTTTATATATAATTTACAATGGAAAATGGATTCCTTCAGTGCATTCTAAAAGTTAGTATGACAGCAAATATTTTACAGACATAGGTCCAGATTATATTTTTTTTCTACCAGCAACAAGTAATATAGGTTATATATAAATTATTATGCTCTGACTCAAAGATGCAGTTGTAAGATTCCTAAATCTTTGAACTTTTTTGAAAGAAAAGTTGTAATGCTGATATGTGTGGAATACATTTTAAAGACTTCATCAAGAAAGACTGTTGATATTGGTTTAACAATTCATATCCTAAAGTATTTCTAAATAAGACTTGTGGAATTAAATATAGCTTCAAATTGAACATGTTTCATTTTAATGGAATTCTCCTTTTGAGAAACCCATTTTGCACTTGAATTCACTTTCTGCAAAGTTGCATAAAGATCTTATTTGCAGTATAGAAGAATAGGCTCTTGCGGTCCTTGCACAATATTGTGTAAGCCATTGTATGGCAAAGTTTCAATTACCACATTGAATGCTTAATTTTTAAGTGACTCATTGCACAGCATAAGGCAATTATATACTGTTATGTAGCAAGTTCATGCAGTACTATAGTTGCTTATGGCAACATACTGAGCCAAATGCTTTTGAATTATTTGTGAAAAAAAGATGCCACTCAGTTTGAGTGTAGGTGGCAGGTTCTGTCTCCATGTGTTTTCAGGAAACCTTTCTATGTTTGTTAAAATGAGAAATAAATCTCTTACAGGACATGTAGGTGGACATATACAGAAATAATAACTTAACTCTCCATCCAAAGTTCAGAAACCAGTGATATAGGATGAAGCCTAAGGAACAAAAAGTTTCTATAATCTTCAGCTGCATATCGTTTTTCTCTTAAACATACTTTATCACATATTCAGTGAAAACAGCACAGAACTAAGTTGTATACTTAGAAACAAACCAGTGTGGTTTATTTGCAGTTCAAGTATTTAGCTAGCTACTGCCAAAATCATTCAATAAACAGTGTATATAATTAATGTGCTATTATAATTTATAGTAATATCAGCATGACAGTTAAAGCATGTAATGAAATGAACATTCTTCCCACACAAGCTCTCATTTATATGGGGGCATCTCAGATAGGAGAAATACCCATTTTAATCATGTAAATATTTTATCATTGAATTACAGGCTAAAAGAAATAAATTATGGCACATATACAGATATAATGGAAAGAGCCTAAAACCAGTAGATGTCAGGCTTCACATAGGCAGCTGTCCAGATACAAAACCCCTTTTCAGGAGTCGGCTTACTTGGCGAAAGGCTCATGAACACAAGTCAGCAATGTTAGCCTCTTTATTGCAGACAAGAATCCAGCCATCTGTACACTGAAGACAAATGTGAATAATAAACAGAAATTAAAACTCTTATGTAAGTCTGTGCTCCTGCATTTCAGTTCTGGGTTTTTTTCCTCCTACCTTTCCAAGCCAAGTTATCTAAGTGTTTTTTTGAGATCCTTGGAAGGCACTTTTCTGTGTTAACAATTTTCTCTAACCTGGAAATCACCAGTTTCATTCCTTATACCACCTCTTTCCCTATTTCTCTTCCCTGTCTCTCAAGATGTTCCTGCACACACACACACACACACACAGCTTTCTGGTTGTGGTTGTCTGAAAGGCAATGTGTTCCTCATTCCATTTTCCATTGGCTGGAGCTGACAAGATCCTCTGAGCTCCTTTGTGGTCTCTACTCCTAACTGAAGATAGTGTGTGTGTGAGAGAGAAGGGGAGTTCCTTTTTTTATTCAGCTGAAATTGATAACATCTTTCCCCTTTCAGGCTTTTATCACCCTCCATCTTCCTGACACCAGCCATCCTTTGATTTTTTCATCAAGAACCCTCCCATTCCAGAATTCCGAATGGGATAGACTTCTTCCCTTTTATGTTGATACGAAAGTTTCCCCTGCTGAAATGATTTTTTATGTATGGCAGCTTCTGGTTGTTCTCTGGTGAAGGTTTGCCTACATTCGAATTTTCCCATGTTTGTGCCATTTGAAGTGTTGGAGATCCATGTGTGATAGTAATAATGGAGAATATGCATAGCTCAGGACTGAAATGTTGAGATCTTGGTGCTCACTGAACTTCTTTTTTTTTTCTGAAATGAAATCAGACATTCCATTATCTGATAGATGAAACTCAGCAGCTTTCTCCCATACTGAATGCTTACCCTGTTGGAGGCAATGGATTTCGTCGTTGGCAGTCACTTATTTGCCTGGATTCTCAAAGTTAGCCTTTAGTCATCCTACAGAATTAATGCAGTTTCTGTGTCTGGGCTATTTTGAATCAGAGAAAGGGTTGCCCAGTTTTACACTCCCAATTAGTGATTAGACAAATTACAAATCTTCAATTATTGGTTTACATTGCATGTATAGTTCATGTTGAGTGAGGAATGGCATAAATTTGCATGGACTCTTATCAGAATTGTCAGGCAAGGAAATGGATACTTAGCATCAGGGAGCTGTGGCTGCTTCAGCAGTGGCTGCAGGTCGTGGGCCAGGATTAGTATGAAGACCACTGGTTATGATAGATTCCGGTCCATCTGTTGGGCTAGCTGGTTCATCATCTGGGTCTCCATTTGGTTCTGATACTGGAGTAAGTGTTGAAAAAGGGTGTTTAGTCATGGTCTAATCCTTGGTTTGTAGGTAAATGTTTTCCTCCCACATAGATGGGAATAGGAGTGGATAAATCTTGCTGTCAGGTTTCACATAGGCATATCTATAAGCTCTCAAGACACTTAACCCATTATTTAGGAATTGGCTCACGGACATTTTACAAGATTATTATTTTTATTGCAGACAGAAACGAAGCTATATATTTGTCCTCACCGTAGTACACAGAAGCTAAAGCACTTATGAAGATTTGTGCTCCTTGGTTAAAATTCTAGACTTTTTCTTGCTGTCTTTCAGTGTCAAAAGATATCTGGCCATTCTCTTCATGGCCTTGGAAGCACGTGATATATGTTAATACAATGATTCCTTCTAGGTTGTGAACTACTGTTTCCTTCTTCGGCAGATTAATTCCTATAGTTGCCAGGCTATTTTAAGTTGCTTTTTCTTCAGCTACCTCACTCAGTATTAGTATATGTGACAGACTAATCTCATTTTAAAATGTTGAATATAAGAACACATAAATATTTCTTCAACAAGAAATTATACCTAGGAAATCAAAGTATTTCTTTAACATGCCTAGTGATAAATATGTTGGTTTAGAAGTATAGTCTAAGAACACCAAAATAAGAGAAGTATTTTGGATTAAATAGAATCTTTCAAAAGAGGTTTTCTTCCACTTATCCATTAAAAAAAATCCAGTAATCATTAGAAAAATATATTCTCTTTTCATCTCTTCAGACGGTAAAGCTTTTCTTTTATATTTCTTCTAGGGGGAGTTTGTTTCATGTCTTTTATCATTATTGCGACAAATGACTGATAGACATTACCAGCAACTCCTTGACAGATTCAAGACAAGGGACATGCTGAGAGTAAGTCTTTTTTCAGCTTGCTTGCTTGCTTTCTTTCTTTCTTTCTTTCTTTCTTTCTTTCTTTCTTTCTTTCTTTCTTTCTTTCTTTCTTTCTTTCTTAATGTGTGTGTTCTCATGACATTGGGTCATTGTGATACAGTGGATCAACCAGCACAGCTTTGATATAATGGTCAAAATAATTAATAGAAACAGATAACAGGTTGTTTTGAAAGTTACCATGAGGATGATAAATAATAATATGATAGTTTTTGTAAATGTATATTTTAAAAAAAATCAGACACATTTAAAGGAACAAAAATAATTTTTCCAGAATAAGGGAGCAGACATTGGAATAATGCAGCATTGTTTTCTTTAATCTATTTCCCATCTCAAGGAAGAACCCAAACACATTTCTAATAGCACAGAAACAGATCTTTCCTGTCAAACATAGAGCATTGTTGGATATGCCATATTAATCAAAGATGAATTAATATGACAAGCTTCAGTGGCAAATTGATAGTTACATACCCACATCTGCAGTCTTTATTTGTAGTTCAAGCAACCATATAAATCATAGTTATCAATCACTGAAAGCCTGTGTGCAGAGTGGGTATATATTATCAATTTCCAGCATAACTGGTACTGCATAACTCAAACCAGAAACTGATTTTATTAAGGCCATTATGATGTCATGATTTTGTTAGGCTAAAATAATATTGGCTTGCTGCTCAAAATTGCATTATTTCAATATTATTTCATGATCATACACTAAATGTCCATTTCTTTGTCCTTATCAGCTTAATGGTTCATATGATCCAAAGCTAGGGATCCTTTGGGTATGAATTAATATGGAAACTTTAGAATGCATTTCAATTTCTCTACAATGTAAATGAAACTTCCTGGACTCCAGAATCTTAGGGAGCATGTATGTTTGCCTGTCCCCCTTCACTAAATCTATTTTAGTGAATTAATTTGCACAAGTCTGCTCCATGCAAAGAGATCGTTTGTAAGAAAATTCAGATGAAATAAACAGAAAAGAAAGTAGAAGACAGAAACAAAAGTTATAAAAACTGTTCACCATTTTATTCTGGATTCTTTATTGCTAATTATTTCATACAGTTGTCTTGTTTTCCCTTTAATATGTATCAATGTGACATCACAAAATACGTGTGTTTAATGCAACTTTATGTTCCTTCTACAGCCATTCAGTAAAGTAACAGCTATGCTAGACATGCTAAGGCAGTGCTAAGCCTGGAAAGTAACTAATAATTACTTTCCAGGCTTAGCAAAGTAATTGGAAAATGAATCACGTTATTTTCCGGCATACCTCTCAAACTGAACTAACTTTTTCTAGTGCTTCTCTCTTTAAATGGAAGGAAAAATTAATAACTTCATTTTGAATTTAGGAAAAAAAGTTGACTGCTGCATTCATCTGACAGGAAAATACTTTTCTTCCAAATAATTTGTGAATTGGGAGTGGGGTCCTTTTTTTTTTTAATGAAAATATGGAAAGTCAAGCTATAGTGAAGCTGCTAGAAGAGTGAATCCTATTGAAGATGAATTGTCACGGGAAGGATTACTTGTCTGCTGAATTAACTCTTTTTTTAATGTCTAAAGGAGGTCTTCTTTTTCTTTTCTGTCTTGTCCTACTCTCTTAACTCTTTCCCATGCGTCACATCCATCTAGTATTGTTCCTTCCTGTTCCTTCATCCCCATCTCCAGCCTGTTCTTTTTCCCCTTCTCCTCTGCTGTTTCTGCTGGAAAAAGGGAGGGAGAGTTTTTAGTGTACTTGGGGGAGTGGTTTGTTGTATATATAAGGGACAGATGGCTGATATATGCCAATCCAACTTCAGTTAATATTGTAACTGGGTTGCCTTATTTTACAGGCAGTTAATTTAATAAATAGTTATTGCTTTTTACTTTTATTTTTGTCCTGGTTCTGCCCTTTTTTGACATGTGCTTTTTGGCAGGTATGTCTTTATGTATGTATGTATGTGTATATGTACACACACACACACACACACACACACAAGTGTAACATGCATTTGGAGAAAGGGAAGTATTCAGGACTGATTTCAGCTTGGTTTGGGAACTCTAGGCCTTGCACTGGAACTTTGTCTATATAGACAATTTCTTTTTGTCTGTTTTGTTCAGGATTAACTTTCAGTTGATTTCAGGTAAATGTAATATATGGCCACAAGGTATGCTTAATGGAAACCAAGTAAAGATAACCTGAATAAAGAGCAAATAGCACTCAATATTGTGGTACAATTTATTTTCTTTACTTCAAGAAGCCTTTAAAGTAAAACATTCTTGCTTCCATTTTACGAACTGGAATTAATGTTGCTAGATGATTGATTACCAAAGTTTAGTGGGATTTAGAATCCAATATCATTTTTTACATTCATTACCTTATCTGTTCCAAAAAAGGCAATTATAGTATCAAGTATAATATTGTCAATTTCTTTCCAGTAATATTTTTAAAAGCCCACATTTTAAAAAATAGGATAGATGTTATAGGAAAAGGATTGATAATCATGTAGATTACAGAAAGAAACAAAGGGAATGGCTGGTGTGGGTCTTCCGGGCTGTGTGGCCGTGTTCTGGAAG